GTCATGGATCCTTCAGTTCTTTCTCATGAGTGGCCGATTAGTTCCACATGGAGGCACGGAGCTTGGGTAGGACCGGACAGCCTACTCTTTGGTCTGTACTTCGTTGTCGGGGTTCTTAAGTCTGCAATTGAATTCAGGATTCCCCAGTCATTCTCCCAACAGCCATTCATTTCAGCTTCTATTTCATACTCCTCTGGCAGTGCGTGGAATTGATAGGTGGGGTGTCCTGATAACAACTGAAAATAAACACAATCAGAGCATCTCCTTTGTTTAGAGCAGGAAGGAATAAGGTTGGTGTAGTTGGACATTCCTACTAATGGTCACAAATACTAGCAATGGGTCTGAACAGCTTCTTTCCATTTTTTAACTTTATGTGCCTACTGTATGTTGATGGAAAACCCTAAAGTGCAGGAATGCCTGCTGGTGAATTCGGTGCCACTCTGGTCATTTCCTCATCACTGGAAGTTCCAGTCCTATGGTTTATCCTCTGAGATCAGTCGCATCATGTTCAGTCCAGTTCAGCTATCGAGAAGCCAACAGAACAACATCTCTGTGTATACTGATTGCACAAAGCAGTTGCATAGGATGGAGAAGCTTTGTCTTTATTCTTGGAGCTCGGGACAGTAAGAGACAAACACTGAGTGACATGCAGTAACAGCAATAGGGTGGCAAGTATTTTTTTAAAAAACAAGCCATAGAAGCCCCCCAGTTCAAGATCAGATACCCTCTACCTGTTTTTAAGGCTCAGACAATAGTGCATTTCTCCAGAGCTGGAGGATTTGGTGAAATTGCAAAGACTTGGAGAGGGAAGAGAGGTGTTAATAATCCTCTGTCCAGAGAGTCATTGTGGGGAACCGATGAGTTTCATTACCACCCTCCACTCCCACTCCCAGCAATAAATCCCTGGATGACTTCATCAGTCTTTCTGGCTAATACAGGGAGTGAAGCAAGAGTGACCAACTGAAAAAGCTGCTTTGAATGAGTAGGACCCATGGGCATCAGACATCATGTGGAGAGGTGATGAGGTGGGAAGTTATTCTACCAAACTTGCCAAATAACACTCACCACCCTGTGCAATGAGATCATGGGTCTGTGAGAGACAGAGTGGCATCCCTATGGGGTCGTAGGGTATTCAGCAATTCCTGTAAAGAAGCATGATAAAGCAGCAGATATCTGCTGAAAGACAAATTTTCATAAGCATTACACATGTGTGAGCTGAAATATGGGCTCATGTAGGAGTTTGTAGACCCACATGAATATCTGCTCTTGTGCAATCCCCTGATCGAACAGCCCTCCATGCAGTGACAGGAGATTGGGAGATGGATTTTGCCATTTCTATAGAAGATGGACATCAGCTTCATTTTGGAGACAGATAATCAACACGGGCACAGAGACATGGGCCACTCTTTTACATGGAGGAAGACAATATCAGCACAGGGCAGCCATGAACACTGGCCCTAAATCCTCTTAATCTATCTGTAGGAGATGGTATTTTTGTTATTATTATTCTTGTTGTCCCTGTTTTATAGTATGTAATCCTGGTAATCAAGGAAAGAGCTAAACCAATGTGCTTCAACTTTTTGTGACAACTTGACTGCACACTCTTTAACTTTCTGCAAGAGTGAAAACTTCAAAACGGTTTTTGTTGTGTTGCTTTCAAGAAATGTGCAGCTGTTACAGCTGTGGCACAGCAGAATGCAGGCTGCTCATTGTGATCCCTGCACCAAGGCCATGCATGCAGACAGGGTAACACAGGAATTGCTTAGCATGACACACACGCCAGCTGTGGGATCTGAGGAGTGAAGTAACACAGCACACAGTACGAGTGTTGATATATTCTAAAACAATCCCCAGAATTATAAGAGAAATAATGTGTACTGAGGTCAAGGGGAACATTGAGAGTATGTGACCAATATTTCTCCCAACTTTCTACATAGAAAAGGACATGAACCTTTAGTTAGTGCGGAAAATGAGGCACAATATATTTCATGCATTCCCATTGTAAAAATTCTGCATGTGAACCTCCAAGAGAAAGTGTATGCTTTTGCTGTGTCGAGTATGCACAAGTGTCTGATGCCAGTTCTTTTGTCTTGCAGGTGAATTTCCTTGGATGTGTTTTTTTAAGCTGAAATGCAAGAGCAGTCATGAATATCCTGCAGACTATAGACATGGCTATAGTCATGAATAGACTGCAGATGGTTGATACTTACGATTATGGTTAGGCCTGGAGTCAGAGAAGGTGTTGTGTGTATGCAAGATTGTTTCTACATGAGCATTAATGAGCACTTTACAGCAATATACAGTATTGCTCTGAGAACTAGAGCTCAGCTTTTTACTACAGTATAAGATCTAAAAATGCTAGAAAAGAAAATACATAAAAGAAAGATAAAATGATTTTTAAGTTTCTTTAAATCTTCAGTTTAAGCTAATAACACTTAATTACATTTTTTTCTGCAGTGACGTGAGATAGGTTTGACTTTTTACTTTTCGGGATGCGGTTGCAGCTCTGTGTTTGTCTGTAGGCTTGTTAAGAAAGAGTGCCTCCTGTTATTTTTTTCTCCCCAGTTCTGTTGGTCCTTGATTATGTCTTGAACAGAAATGAGGAACAACTGAGTTGCTGGAGAATGCTTTAGCTATGTGAGAGTAGCAATGATTCTTGATTAGTTTTCTAGGTGTGGCAGAAAAAAAAACCTCAACTGCTCAATACAGTTACCTCTCCTGCAGTTAGACACACATCTTCCACACTCCTACAAGAAGCAGCTTTTCACAAAACTATTATAAATTAAACAGGCCGGCCCTGCTATAACACTGCACAGGTGCAAATCACTCACACTCTACTGCAGGGGTGATAACTGTATATACAGTACAGATAGGAAGAAACACTTCCCAGTATACTACTTAGGTCTATATGAGGTACTACTATAGCTGCTGGAGACATGGGACATTTGGTAAATTGGTTCAATTATGTAGCTTACAAAAAACAAGTTTCTTGATCATAGCAGTCAGGGAACGTCCTGGTTGTGAATCAGTCCAGCGAAAAGTAATCAGATTCCAAGGCTTAAAAGAACATCTTACATGGACAGGTTGAACAAACTTAACCCCATTTTTTTCAGAGAAGGCTATGGGGGGGGCTGATATTAATATTCAAAATCCTCAAAGGCATTGACAAAGTCAACCCATCTGATGTCTTCAGAATGAAAACTGACACACGAAACAGAGGAGCAAAATGGTAACAACATGTAAGTGCATTTTTAGATCATTGGATGATTTAACCCCTAACTATAAAAGGGGCCAGATGGGCTAAATAGTCTTCTCTCGTTTATAACCTTCTTATAATGGTAGAGGCGTTGTTTGAAGCCGGATATTGGTGTGAAAATTAGACACAACTGGCTTATTTGACTGGCTGCCAGTGTGAATGGAATTCCGCAGGTGGAAAAGAGCATAAATTATTCCCTCTGTGTGTAAATACTCACTTCCTGTGAATAAGAAAACTGGTCTATACAGTATAAGCACCCAGGAGGAGGACTATACAGGAGGTCTGCATCTAAGCTCCTGCAGGAGTGAGTGAGAGCTCAGAAATTAATATACTGTAGAGTGTCTAGATAGCACAGGTCTAGCCTTCTGGCACCACCAGCACACAGGTGCACAGCCTCTGCATCAGAGACAGTCTAATAGGAGTGAGAGTGTGAAGGAAGAACTTGCAAGGATTGATTTTAAGAACTTGTGATGACTGCTGAAAGTAATCACTCTGGATCTTTGTAGCCTAAACTGTTCCAGTATTTAGTTTATATAGCCTCCAGCGTTTCATTAAAGAACTGATTATTACGGATTAAAGTATAGTAGGAAGACTGGACATACAGAGTTTTAAGCTAAGTTAAGTAAACCAGTGTGTCTCTGTGAAGAAAAGGGACTAATTTCCATCTCAAATAAAGGAGGGACATGGAGCAGTTAAAAATGAATTTACCCATTCTGGCCTTGCAGAGATGGGACAAGAAGAGATGAGAAGGAAGAGTTAATCTGAAGAGTGGAAGAGGAATTAAAGCGACTGTGCCACCTAAGAACTCTGAGGGATGAGTGAGTGAACAGTGCAGATTTCTCCGAAAGGGACCCACCAATACATCTAGGACCCCAGAGAGGTTCTGTCCCCAAGGTGCAGTGACAGCACACGCAGATGTTAAAGTCACTCAGTCAGAGCTACATTTTGTGGAATGTGGGTCGGTCATCACCACACTTCCTTAATTTCTTGTGAACACCTACATTAGTTAGCATTTGCTCAACCAAGGCAACCCATCTGACAGACTACCACAGTGAACCGCAGAAATGCCCAGCAAGTTTTCCCATTGTTTTACTTTTATTTTGCCAACTATTTCAATTGTACTTTTCTGTATATAGCCCTCACAATTTCACTGTGCTATTTGGTCATTTACTGTCCTTTTACCCATCTATTTGACAGTGCAGCTTTACAAAGGAACTGCTGTAGACACACCGGGACTGACTACCTCCAGATGTGCTGGTGTGCAGCCCCTGACTGTGGGCAGACATGTGCCCCCCAGAAGCTGGCTAGGCTGCCCCACTTGGAGGAGCCCTAAAGAGAGGAGGGGTGCACCTCTCAGTGTGAGGTATCCTGTGCCATAAACAGGACCTCCCGGCAACCCTGCTCTGTTTAGTCTGTAGCTGATGGTGCACAATCGCTTCCAGAACATCGAGACCTACTGGAGAGGGGGAGGATCAGAGTTCAGTCGATATTAGGTCTTGCAATTAAGTGCCACTGAGTCCACAGACAGGCGCTGCTATTGCACTGTACACATGCCTGATGAGTTGTCTCTGTTGCAGTCACACCAGTGTGTGTCTTCTGGTGCCTACATATGTGCCTGAGGCTGAGGATGACTGTGAGACTTGCGCTTGGTTTAAATAACAATATATTAAAAAGGGTGAAGGGATGTACTATAAGACGATGAACTGACGAGGAAAGCTAGACCTTAATCCTGGGGCAGGGGAGCTTCAGCCCTTTAAACATAAGTTAAACTTTACAACGTTCATGAACAAGCGTGAGAATCTAAGACTGAGCGACGTCATAGTCCTGAAATCCAAGACTGTAGCTTTCCACCAGCCGCCCAGCAGTAACCCATGGAAACAGCATCAAGGGTGTATGAGGGACTAATCAGCAAGAGAAATCTGGAAATACATTCTGCTGACACTGCTGACGTGGGAGATTTAAGGCACTGCACTGCTGCACATTTCAGGAAAACAATTCAGGACATCTGCTTTTGCTATTTCATTTTTCACTTGTTGGATATCCTGTTCTTTTCGTAATGGAGTTGTTCCTGCCTGCTGCTCACTGGCGTTCTGAAGAGGCATCCCAAATGAGGGGAAAAGGCTTTGGCGCAATGTTGCACAGCGCTGGCGTCTCATTCTTTTAACACGTTTCATTTCTCCTTGTTAACAGCGAGCGTCCCTGCAGGGCTCAGGTTTGTTTCCTTGGAGATGGATGCTTAAAGCTCGGAGTCGGCAACGGAGGAAGTGGCGCTCTGTTTTATTTTTTTTTAGAAAGGTCACGCTCAGCATGGTTCCGTCAGGGTGTCCGGTCTGATCCACTGGGGACTTGAGGCTCTGCGTCACAGAAGGCCGTCCTGTTGGGACCTGCTTGAGATACGCCGCTGACTCAGGGGTGAGTGCATCTGAGAGCCTGGCCTGCTCCCGTTTCTCAGTTCGGAATCATGACGCTAAGCTAATTCATGGCTTTATGACTAAAAAAACAGCTGTAATGCTCTTCTATAAATCTGAATTCTTCCTAAACATCATCTGAATGGCCCATTGGAGGAAGCACAGCAGTGATCACCACACACACCTTCATCAAAAACCTGCACCGCAGTAGTGTTGATCTGTGTACTTTTAATAGGGTTTATACAGTAGCACCCAAAACTGTTTAACCGAATAATTTACCCAGCAATAAATGTGAGGAGACTAAGCATCTGCTGGGAAGAGTGACAGAGCTCCTTTTATAACAGCTGAGGCAGTGGAGGGTACCATATTACTTGCTGTGACCACTGGATGGCGCTATGGAGCAGCCAGCAGTGCCTGTGCAATGATACAGTGCGCTTTTGCTGACAGCTCCTCCCCTCCCCCTGTGGCTCTATCTGTTTGTGTGATGGCTGCTGTTTTCCCTTTCTGTTTACTGTATTGTTGCCAGAAGATCCTGGGGTTTCCCACCCACAGCCCCACTCCCATGTGACCCTGCACCCCTCTGGCGCCCCCTCTGTGGGGCCCATGGTCACAGTGAGGAGGGCTGCAGTGGTGAATGGCTGTGCCAAGCTTGGGGTATTCCTCCCTCCTGCCCCCTCGCCCCTAGCCAGTTTACACCGAGTCTCCTCTAAAGTGAGTACAGCTCGTGTCAGAAATCTGCAAAGACTTTCTTCAAAACAAAGAAAAAGCCATTTCTAACCTTTCACTGGGACACCAACAGGATAATATATGTGCCTTTCTGAACCACTGGAACCACTTTATCCACATCGCTTTTATTAGAGTATTTACATACTTCTCATAATTCATCATTTCATAATTCTCATAATTCATCATTTCATAATTTTCATCATTCTTAATGTACCAATAAATCAGATCTATTAACTTGCTTGAAGCTCATCAATCCTGGATCTTCACAAAGTCCTTTCCTGATTACTTGAATCACCTCACACTGAGCTTCCACATACCGTACAGTAAGCAGCAGTCATACTGTAGCAGTAGTGAAAAGCATTAATAGTAGCTACAGTAGTTATAGTACAAAAAAGAGCAGTGGCAGCACTATATCAGCCAGCAGCCATATCACCCTGTAACTCACAACTGGCAACCCACTAATGCTACGCAGGTGTGAGCCTGGTCAGTACCTGGATGGGAGACCTCCTGGGAAAAACTAAGGTTGCTGCTGGAAGAGGTGTTAGTGGGGCCAGCAGGGGGTGATCACCCTGCGGCTCGTGTGGGTCCTAATGCCCCAGTATAGTGACAGGGACACTATACTGTAACCAGGCGCCGTCCTTCGGGTGAGATGTAAAACCGAGGTCCTGACTCTCTGTGGTCATTAAAAATCCCAGGGCAATTCTCGAAAAGAGTAGGGGTGTAACCCCGGTGTCCTGGCTAAATTTCCCATTGGCCTTTACCAATCATGGCCTCCTTATAATACCCATCTATGAATTGGCTTCATTACACTGCTCTCCTTCCCACTAATAGCTGATGTGTGGTGAGTGTTCTGGCGCACTATGGCTGCCGTCGCATCATCCAGGTGGATGCTGCACATTGTGTGGTGGTGGAGGGGAGTCCCCATTACCTGTAAAGCGCTTTGAGTGGGATGTCCAGAAAAGTGCTATATAAGTGTAAGCAATTATTATTATTATTATAATCAGTACTGGATATACAGTAGCCATAGGAGGAGTAATAGTACTATCGATAGTGACAATAATAATAGTTGTAGTATTAACAGTAATAGTCATTGTCATAGTGGGCCAAGAGATAGAAAAGAAACAGTAACAGCAGCAGCATCAGTAGGTATTGCATTAGGCAGAGGATTACAAAGAGAGACAGTAATGATTCTGAACATGGGTCCCTAAAGCTTGGGTCCCTTCACTGTTGGGCAGTGATTTCCTCCTTCTGCATTACCAGAATAGTTGCTTATTCCTGGTAGGGTTGTGTCCACCCAGAGGCTGACCCTGAGGTAAAAGCTGGAGCTATACCCTGGATAGGATGCCAGTCCACTTCAAGGCACACTCACAAAAATACAAACACAGGGGCAATTAGAGACACCAGTTCATTCAGTTAGCAGGTCTTGGGGAACGGGAGAGAACTGTGCAGATAGACCTACTCAAACAAACACACAAAAGCTGCCCCTGTTCAAAATCAAACCCAGGCCTCACAACTATAGTACTGTACCATACTGCTGCCAAACAGGGAATTTCCAAAGTGATTGAGCTGCAACAAAAACTTATAAATTCCTTTGCAGAGGTCTTCCTGTCTCCATTAACTACCACCCCGGCCTGTTTCCAAACATTTGATCAGAAAACAAGATGCTGATGCACTGGTTGGGCCAGAGCACTGTCATTTGTCAGCTGAGAAAAGAACTGCTGTGTCCCACTTGATGTGGGGAGGCTTAAACCCAAGAATCCTAAATCGAGGCTGAAAACCTGCATTTAAACATGTTCCAAAACTGACTAGAGCTACAGAATATTTTGATCTCAGGTTCCACATTGCACGCCTTTTTCTAAGGCACTGCCTCAGAAAGCTCTGTACATCGTGAAGAACGCAGTACAATTAAATTGATATTTGGGTTGTGCTCTGAGAGAGGAAGTGTAACGAGTTGCTGAACCACCACATCGTGAATCTGGGCTCCCCATCCACAAAGCAAAGTCATGGCAGGAAGTTACTTTTACTGCCTGTGCTACATCTGTCCTACATTTCAACACCGTGCTCTGTTTCTATTTCTCTTCCTTACAAAGATTCCGTTGCCGGTGACCGTACCTTGCCCAGGAAAATAAATGGTCTTCGTCTGACCATTCTCCAGGTTCTCCACGGGCACTGCCGGATAATGCCCTGCTCTGCCGCTGAAACATACTGTGTGAGAAAACAGAAAGGTAACAATGTTTTCATTTTGCATTTTTTACCTTGCTGCGACCCCCATGTTTCCTTTGCTGCGGAAGCTGCGGGGTTTGGCACCAGAGAGAGAGACGGGAGCCAGGCTGAACTGCTCTGCACCTCTTCTAAAGGTTTTGCCTGGGCAGCGTTTTCTCTCATGCTTATTCTACGGGGTTTTTTTCCGAGCAATCCTGCGACATTAGGCGGCCCAGTTAAAATGCAGTCACTCGTTCGCATTGTAAATAGCCGCAAACGCTGGCTGAACTGCCACCGATGGGGACATACTGTTGGAGTGATGCGCTGGCATCAGCTGGAGGGAGCCCCGCCACCTCTTGGAAAAAAAAAAGAATAGAAAATTAGTGGCCTTAAATTCTGACCTTACCTTCCCCTAAGATTTTTTGTAAATATAGCATGAGTTCCTATAGACAGAAGCCTGAACCCCCTGCCAAAAATAAAACTGTCTGAGAAACATGAATATATTGTACCTGTGGAATTGCTATTCATTGAGTTATAGGCAAGAAAAACTGTAGAGGTTTTGTCAAGATTTACAAATGGCTATTCATCCTGAATCCCGTTTGATCATCTCCAGTCCAGACTTTTGATCCAACCAGCTCCTTAATTGCTGTATTGATCCTGCTCATTAACAACATAACAACATTAACAATTATGGAGCTGGCTGTAGCAAAATTCTGGAAATGGAATAGATAGGAAGGGATACGAGCTGAGCAGCCCTGATTTACCTTATGCTTCTCCTATTGTGCTTTGCTACATTCTCCTATATCTGTACAAGAGAAGGTTTCAGAAAACAATCAGATCAGAGGAGATAGGTGGTCCTCATCCAGAGCACACTCACTGAGCTCACTGTCTGGCAGGAGACAGCAGAACAGCTGGCCAGCTAATGTCAGTGGTTTTAGTGCTTGATGGGACTTGATTCATAGTTGACCTCCAAAGTCACTTCAGATATTTTTGCTCAGTCCGGAATCAGAGCCCTACCTCTGACCTTCAACATGACATTAAAGTATGAAGGGCTGACAGAGTTTTGTTTTAAAGAAAGGGAGAAAATCTCAAATGTGCTTTTCTCCTTGTGGACAAGCATCATGGGAAGGGAAGTAGTTCAATGCCGGTATGCAGCAGGACCCTAATAAACTCCATACCAGCAATGAACTACTTCCTTTCCTATGATGCTTTTCCAGGAGGAGAAAAACACATCTAAGATTTCTTTCCTTTTTTTCCCCACAACTGCTCCTTTCAAAACATAGTGACAAAAATTATTAATTATATCTTTCTCCCCCACACTGCCTGGAATGAGCAGTGAGAAACTAAATGAAGATCTTTATGCAATGTCTGTGCTCAGGAGGCTGAGGTACACTGAGTCTTGGATGTGGGACCTTCCGTGATGATGCCGGCCTTCAGAAGAAACTCCCACATGCGTGATAATTCCCTGGCAGAGATCTTCCAGGTCCTTTCATAAGACTCAAGAAGAGGTGTGCAGCCACTGTGGAGCAACACGCCTCGACAGTTTTGTTTTTAATTAAAAGCGGTTGTGCTGTGCCACACAGGGATGGCATCTCCCACGAGGAGCTCACTGAAGTGGAAGGGCAGTGCGGGGCCCAGATGGAGACAAACAGGGGTGGGAAACACCTCCCTCTCTGCGAAAAGATGGGATATCCATTTCCAGCATGTGGCCAAGGGTTGTCTCACAACATGAGAAGCTAGAGAAAACCCAGGGTTTACCCATCCCGTCCTCAACGTCAATAATGTATTCAGCCATTGAGACAATTAAAAAGGAGGCTGGAGACGCTTGCTCCAGGCGCAGATTGGAAAAATTAATTATCTTAATCTTTGGTCCCGTGCGCAATCCAAATAACGTGCTCACACGCACTCAGTTGCTCTTCTACCTGGTTCAACAGGGGATAACAAAAGTCAAACCTAGAGAGGCAAAATGTAGGCTCCAGAACAATCTGGCCTGTTTTACTTGTGTTTATAACTTGTGAATCAATTTGTGATTATTAAGACTGTGTTGTCTTTTTTTCTCAGACCATATAAGCAAGCCTCATTGTTCTCCCTGAGAACAGACAACATGCTCTCCATTTCCCAGAGCCCAGCTGTCTTATCGCTTCCACGTTAATGAAAGACGCCTATAGCCACAGATTTCAAGCCAAGTGTAAACACCCAAACAATGATGACATTTTTCTCTAAATCCAACTGTTGTGGAGTCAGTTTACTTTGGCTGGAACCAGGCCATTCCATTCTGCTTCTGTGGAATTTCTTTCCTGTAGAAAGCATTCCAGGCAAGTACTCACGGGTCTCCTGTGCCAGAGAAGGAGAGCGGAGATCATGTGGAGTCTCAGGCATGCTGGAGAAAGGACACCACTGTCATTACCGGAGATACTCAGCCTGATCAAGTGTAACTTTCAGAAGTTACAATATATGCCTTTTTGCCTGTCTTCAGAGTTTGACATGATAGACGTTGACAAAAGTAGTGGCATGCCATTGTGAAACCAGAATGCAGTGCTCTTTCTCTTAAAGGGGAACTGCAACACTAATTTTATATTTCAGAGTTAGAAAGAATGGGCATCAGTAGTGCATTTCAGATCACAACGAAAGTCAAATGTACACCGTAATGTGTAAAATCTCACCACAAAATAGACAGGATTTCCAGGTACTGTATATGCAGCACCATATCCTGCAATTCAGAATGAGGCGACCAAATGACCGGTAAGGTGTAGAAGCCTTTTCACATTGTAAACAAGCAGGCTTGTGAATACATCTTTTTTTCTGCTAATAGAAATATTGATGTCGAATTTGAGATGGTTTTGCTGACAAATACAAGTTACTTGTTAGCTCTGCATGCAGATCACGTTGGAACATTGCTGTGGTGAAATGTCTGCTGCACAACCTGTACTTATTGGCTCATACATCGCATTCCATCCGTTGTTACATTGACTAGTGAGCAGGAAGGGCTGCTCCACATTGCAATTCACTCAAACTCTCGGTCTCATCTGTGGAAAGACCAGGGCTTTGCGCCAACACGGTTACTATGCATTACTTTCACAAAGTTCACGATTTTATGCTTAATTTGGAATTTGTAAAAGTTTGCAGTACTGTCAGTTCTTATTTTTTTATATGTAATACCACAGTTCCCCTTCAATTATCATAAAATAGTCCAGCTCAAGATAGCTTGGCAAAGCTTAGGGAATAATGGTGAGGCCAAATACATACAGTACAGTATACAGTATGCCATTAGCATGGCAAAAGTGAATCAAAGAAATGCCACACAAATCTGTAACTTGTGTACATGGCATGCCAGGGAAAGGACATATCTTTTCACCTCTGCCCACCTTGGGGGTACTGGTCACCACAGCTGGACTGTTTCTGTTTTGTCCTTTAGAATATGAGACAGGTATACTGTATGCTCTAGTCGTGCAAAATGAAGGTCGCAACATTTCCTTCTCAATAAAGAAAAGAACATTTCTCCTCTTTCTTTTGGAAGGCCAATTATGCTTTTGCTCCAAAACACAAATTAATTCCAAAAAAGCGAAAAATACTTTTCATCTGTACTGAATTATATTGTCATAAAAAAGACGACTTCTTGTCTTTATATCCTTTAGTCTGTCAAGACCCTCAAGCCACTCTTCCACTTCCGTATGTGCAGTACACTGAGTACATTTGACAACATTGACATCACCTGTGCACAAGTATGGAAATACCCTTCCATTGGTTTTAATTACTCCTTGGGCCTGTTGGGAAATGTACTTCCAGCCCCTTCTGATGATCTCTTTCTATTACAAGCATGAAATGAGGAAAGTTACCAGGGGTCAAGACTATGTAATATTCTAGATCCATAAGACAATCCACCTACAAATATCCTACATATTGAGTCACACTTGGTTGACTGTCATAAGAGGAGGGTGGTTGTGTGGAGTGCAGAGCATGTGATGTCTGTAAAGCAGCAGGCAGTTTTGCGGTACCCAATCTCATGTTAAGCTTCCAAAGCATTCATGGTTCTCCCTTTTCCCTTTAAGGTGAAGATATAGAGGGAGATTTCTGACCTTTTTAGCTTCAGAGAACTATTTACTTCTTTGGTGGAAGGATAGAGCAGCACAGTGGCGTAATAGTTACCTGCCTTCAGTGCTAGAGCCCCACGTTAATTTCTGGGCCTGTAAATCTGTGTGAAGTTTGTATGTTCCCCCCATGTTGGGCGAAGCAGTGGCACTGTGGATAAGGATCTGCGCCTGTGGCTGGAAGGTTGCCAGCTCAAATCCCACGGTTGGTAGAGGAATCCTACTCTGTTGGGCCCCTGAGCAAGGCCCCTAACCACAACTGCTCCATCGGGCACTGTACAGTACAATGGCTGACCCTGTGTTCTGACCCCAAGCTTCTCTCCCTGTCTGTGTCTCATGGAGAAGAAGCAGGGGCATGCGAAAAGATGAATTTGTAATGCAAGAAATTGTATATGGCTAATAAAGTGATCTGATCTGATCTTATCTTATCTCTTATGTTCTCGTGGGTATCCTCTGGGTACTCTGCCTTCCTTCCGCAAAGACATACTGGTAGGTTATTTGACTTCTGGGAATATTGGCCCTGTTGCCAGGGTACATGTGTCTGTGTCTTTGTGTGCCCTGCAATGGACTGGTGTCCTGTTCAGGGTGTATCCTGCCTTGCTCCCATTGCTTGCTGGGATAGGTTCAGGCTCCCTTGTGACCTTTGATTCAGAAGACTTTGGTAGAAGAATATACAGTTATCATAATCCTTGATCTAACCCAAGGAAAGATTCTCATTTTCAATGCCAACCTTGGCAACAGGATCACACAGGAAACACATACAAAAAGGAATCGATAAATAATGGAAAACCACTCGGGATGCGGCAGAGTTTGGCTCCCGTGTGGAGTAGTGGCGAGTGTCTTGGATCAGAGGGTCAGGCTCTGCTTCAGAGGGTGTCGTTCACTTGAGCTGTCCTCTTCACTGAGATTGTTTTTCTGTCAAACCATGGAATATGTTTTACGATAATATACAATAATATTTTGTCTGATTTCTCAGAAATGTGTTTTGTGTCTGAGTATTTCAAACAATTTTAAACAGTGCAAATAAACATTACATTCCAAATAAATAAAATATTACTTAAAAGACATCAACCCATATACTGTACATCATTATGCACCATTCCTACAGGAATCCACACAGATTACCAGAACCTGTAAATTTAGTACCCACACAATCACTCTAAGCTCCAAAAAGTGCAAATTACTCCTTTATTGTAAAAATCGTTTATTGATAGAGTAGATTGGGGTTGAGTAGGGTTTGATTTTAAAGTGTTGATAAGTACAACTAGAAGTATGAAAATGCCAGGCAACTAAGACATAACACAGGCATAAAGCAAAATAACATGTTGATTTGTTTTCAACCTCAGCATTGTTTTTTTTTTAAACAGGCTTTCTGGAGACAGAAATGTGCAGCAAAAACAAATCTCATAAAAAAACTTTTGTTTTGAAAACATAAGGGGAAAAGAGTTTGCTGGGCTCATTTTACGATTTGAGGGCAGATTTAATTTGACCTAAATACTGAAGCTATAGAATTCTGGAGACAGTGCTGGAATGCTGAATTCTGACAAGGATGGGGAAAAGAAACTGGGGATCACAAGAGCTGGATCCCATCACCATACGAACAGATGAGCTGGGGAATTTTTTGGAGGGGCTGAGGAGGTCATGTGCATCTGTGTGTATGCAGGGTGGGGGGCGGGTGTTAATAACTGAGGAAATTCCAAGCAGCAAAGTGTTCTTTTTTCAAAAACGCCTCAAGGCTGAGTCAGGCCTGGAGCACTTACAGCTGCAATAACAGTCTCCGAGGGGGTGTGTGGGTAGCCTGCCATCCACAGCTCGCAGGTCACTAGCTCCGGGAAGCGACGAGGAGCTGTAACAAGGAAGAAAAACAAACCCTCACATTTGACTGAGACACAGTCACACAGAGGTCAAGAGACTGAGACTCCGGGGGCCAGAGCAGGCTACCCTGACTTCACATCATACACTGATGCTTATTCTCAGACTCGAGTCAATTTCATCCCAGCACACTTCCTCAAAATGAACAGAGAAACAGGCACCAGGGGTCACGATTAGAAAACTAGGTGGAAGTGCATTTAAAATTGTGAACAGGAGGCACTTCTTTACGCAAACGGCAGTCAAAGTATGGAACAGACTAAATAACATTTTGATTGGAGTTGATATTTTGGCTTCATTCAGACAGCAATAGGATGAGAACCCTCAATATTACTAAATACAAAACAGGACAGATGAGCAGAATGGCCTTCTCTCATTTGTAACCATTCTTGTTCTTAGGAAATTCATTTAAAGACCCTTCTCCATGCTGAAATATCCTCACTCTAGTGTACATATTCGGGATGGTCCCTTTCTGAGGCAGCAAGTCTTATGTTATCAGATCAAAAGCTTTTTTCTGTGTTGCTCAGTTCAGGCAGGACACTGTAACCAGTGTGGTTGTCAGCAGCACTCGCTCACACTCGCTGATCGTTCACCAACTGAAGCACCTGGATCTTCAGCAGGAGGATTCAGCTTTGTGGTGTTAAAAGGTTATATTCCGTCTGTGGAATACTGCATGTTAAAAAAAAGTTTTAAAAATGTTTTGGTTGAAAACGAAGGATTTTATTCAAACAAATAGATGATTTATAGTGAAGCCTTGGTTTCCTGAATGTATTATTTCCTTCCTTTGCATAACTAAATGATCGTTTCTAAAATGCATGGAAAGCCCTAAGAATTAGTTGCTTTACATATATAGTCTGTGTATTTTTAAACACCAGAGGATTGTCAAAATCTATGTCCAGCCGGCTGGAGGAAGTGCTGACCATGGTGTCAGTTTGAAGACTGGCTGAGGTGGAGGTCAGTTGTGGAGGGAAACTGGCCTGCTTGTGCCAGGAGCTGAAGTCACACTTTTTGGTCCGCGCCATACTACATGAGCTCACCTTGTGTCCACCCCAGGAATTTGAGGCTTCTTCCAAACTCATGGCTTGTCTCCCTAACTGGGAGGGGATGTTCTGTTGTGGAAGACCACTAACACACTACTTCTGCCAATACAGGACTTTGGGTCACACTCCTGCCCGCTCTCCAGTATGGCATCCCATGTGATATGCCAATACACATTGAGACTGGCAAGAAGCTTTCAGACATCATGGAGTCATGCCAGCAGTGAGAGTCTTGACCTCTGTGTAATGTTGCTCTAAGAAGATGGGCCTTGTAGCGCAATCCAGGAACATATAAAAGGACCTATTTCGTGTATGGAAAGGTGGCCAAGTTGGAGAGTCTGCAAACAACACACAGGGAATGAGCAGAGCTGCACAGTACTGAGACCAGAGGGAGCAGGGTGCACACTCTCTGGGGAGGAGTATAAGGCTGGCTGCAGACTGTTGAGACAAGTAGCCACACTGCAGGCAGGCAGGATGTAGCAGCTAGGTTGGGTAGTAATCCAAAACAAGTGAGGGTCGTAACCATGGAGACACTGTAACAGAGGGTGTGCTGGAAATAGGCCTGAGTTCAGTCTAAGTTCAAAGCCAGGGTCGAAGCCGAGAGACACACAGTAAACAAAGCCGAGGGGTGATCCAGGAACATGAACGGGAGACAAAGCAGGAGGTCGAAGCAAGCTTACAAGGCAAAGCAAGCAAAGCGAAACTCAGGAATAAAAAACAGAGGCGAAGCTTGAGAGGCTCAATGTTAAAAATGAATGACAGAGCCCAGAGCTCTGGGAGGTCTGATATTTATCCTGAAGCACACCTGAAACAGGCATGGTCATAATCCAAGTAGGGGATTGCGTCAGTATGTGTAGGCTGCGAAGGAACGGGTTAAGGTTTATTCCATGCTGAAACGAAAGGAAAAAAAAAACAAGATGCGCACCTGAAGAAGGCCACAGCCGAAACGTTGTGTTTGTTTTCTTTTTTTCTTTTCTTTTCAGCGCGGTCATAATCCAACTCCAGGTGTTCCTGTTGTCTGTTAGGATGCGTAGTTCTGGACCCTATGAAGATGGTATAATCCGGAAGTAAGTGGAAAAGGACAATGGGGAGGAGACGACGAGGACCGGGGCAAACTGACAAACGGGGGCGTGACGACAGTGAACTGGTGCTCAGGGGGCGTGGCCAAGGCAAACAAGTCCAAGGGAGTTCAAGGGAAACATGGGGCGAAGGAATAAAAACAGGATGATGAGGCCAGGCGCTCTGAACCCCAGACTCAGCAGGGTCAGGACGCTGATAGGATATGCCCTCAGGCCATGGACGTAGGACGACTTGGTGGTAGGCGGGCCTCCGGGTGTCCGTATTCCAATGCAGAGCCAGGAGTAGCAAGAGCACCTGGCTTAAATAAGGAGGGGCAGGATTGGAGGCAAGTGCACATAATCAACTAAAATATGAAAGAGCCGGAGCCCCCTTAAGAGAAGGGATTCTAATCGTGACAGTCTCCAGGTGATGATGTCACCAGCTTCCGTGACACAGCTAGCTCGCTCTGCAGAGCAGCAGCTGGGGCCAGCAGGACATTCTCTCTCAAAACAAACAGCTTTCACAAAGCTACAAAGCAGTGAGAGCCTGATTGTAATGGGACCAGTGTGTCACTCAGTCCTTAGCCTGGCCCTAAGAAGATTGCTTTACCTGTTATGCAATCTTTTCCACAGCAGAAGATTGACCAAGGATGTTAAAGACATCCATCAGTAACTAATTAAAAACTGAGGCTGACTAGATTGCACTTCTCTAACTTCAAACTGGGAAGAGGATGTCAGACAGCTCAGCAGTCCTGGTTAATCTGGGTGCCAAAATCTACCTGTTTTTTGCTTTGTTGAAATTGACCAATAGATAATTGGATGAGTGTTGCTGAATATAGTTTTATCAATTCATTGATACTGCTGCATTTCTCATTTATTATTCATTTATTATAATTGTAACATTTCAAACAAACTTTTCTGTTTTTTTAACTGACTTGTTGATTTAATTTCATGATGCTTTAATCCAACCTCCATGTATTGTTGTACCCATTGATACATTATATGCACATGCCCCCAAAGATACATTATAAATTATTCAAGGGATCAGCCTGGGATTTGAACACACAACCTAACAGTTGCTGTTCCAGAACCCTAACCATTGCTTGACAGTGGTGCCTCTCTGTAGGACACTTTACTGGAGGGAAGCACTATGAGCCTGGCTGTGGCCGTGAGGATGAGACTATCAGAATGCCCCCACTAGGTGGAACCAAGGAGC